ATCAACCGATCATCATCTTGTTGTTGGCACGCTGCGCTGTAAGAAATGGAGTACCATACGAAGATCTGGTGGCAGCAGCAACCGGATAAACAAATGGGAAACATTATCTTCGGTGGACAAGAGAGCAAAATTTGCAAACAACGCACGACGGTTTGAATAGATCCCCTGATGTGGAAACAGAGCAGATGCTCTTTAAGAACAGTGTACTCAGCGATGCCGCCAAATGCTGCGGTTCCAAACGGGTGGGCCTGCCGCCTGGAGGTCATAAACGAACTTCCTGTTGGACACGAGAGGTACAACTGGCTGTAACCCAGAAGGAGGCTCCTTCCAAGAGATGGCTTGAAAGCAAAAATCTTTCAACTGGCATGCGGTATGAACACGCGCGCAAGGCGGAAGCCAAAGCAGTGGCGAAAGGCAAAGCTGATTCCTGGAGAAAGTTTGGTCAGATGTAGGAGTGGAATTTCCAGACGACAAACTAGGTATTCGAGCAGACCAACCGCCAGCTTCGAGGTGAAAAGAAGGAGAGTCTAACTGTCTTGAAGGCCAGGTCTGAACACCCTCTCACCAAGGATAAGGGCATTCTTCGGCGATGGAGCGAATACTCTGAGGAACTCCTTATCCCTGAACAGCTGCAGGAAGATTCGCAAACGGATATTACCATTTCTGTGGACGAAATCCCACAAGCTACGAAATGCCTGAAAAGTGGAAAGGCTGCTGGAATTGATGAAATCTGCCCTAAAATACTCAAAGCAGTAAACGAACAAGGCACGTGCTGGCATACACGTGTCAGTGAACCTGCAGTGGCTGCGGAAAAGACACCAGCGGACTGGAGAGCACTGGCTTTAGTACCTCTGTTCAAGAAGAGCGATTACAGGGAGTGCTGCAATTATCGGGGTATTACCTTATTGTTTCTTGGGTAAAGCCTACGCAAACGTGCTAGAACGAATGTGCCGCGGAATAACGGACTCCAAAATACAAAAGAAATAGGCCTTCGGTGGCACCTCTGTCCAGATAGTCAGGAGCAGCCAGGGCGATGAGTATATCAGCGAAGGATATGTCCAGACGAGAAGATTACTGTTTGCAGCCGGTTCTGTTTTGTTGCCATCTTCTGAAAGTGATCTACAGCGCTCTCTAAAAAGGATCACAACCGAGTGCGACATAATCGGCATGCGCGTGAATCTACGTAAAACGAAAAGCTCTAGTGCCTTCTCATTTTCCTGCCTGTTCCCTTCAAATAAACAGACCTTTTCAGGTCGTGTTTAGTGATGCTGGAAAATAGGGTCGAAGGGCGGCTTAGAATAATCAGCGGTGTTCTGCGTGAACTAATGCGAACCGCTGTGACTGAAGCAGAGGTAAGTCTGAAGTCTAGGCTTTCAGAAGTTTGAAGTCTAAGCTTCCAATGTTCAGTCTATTTTCATCAAAGTGCACATCTGCGGACTCGTGTGCCCGGACTGGAAAACTTACCGTCTCACACAGGACTGAAATGGGCGTTCTGAGACGAGTCACTGTCCGTGCCCGTTCGACATGGTCTGGAGTACAGAAATCCGTATCTAGGTGTACAGTCGCTGCTTTCTCAGACTGAGAAGTCACAGCTGCAGTGGTGTGGGGCAGGTGTTGCGAATGCCTCCAGAAAGGAAGGCGAAGCAACTAACACTTGCCCAGCCGATCGGCAGAGAGGCCCGTGAGAAGGCCAAAGTTA